AGCCGGGGGTATAGCTCAGTGGTAGAGCATTTGACTGCAGATCAAGAGGTCCCTGGTTCAAATCCGGGTGCCCCCTAAAACTTAATTTTTCAAATTTCAGCGATTTCTCCTTTTTTTTATTCCCCCCCCTTCCTCCTCCACGCGTGATATCTACCTTCAGTGACGCAGCTGGAAAACGCCGTGACAGACCCCACGCTGGTGTAGGGTGAGGCGTTGCCAGCCCTGGGGGCCATTCTTTCATTGGGGTCCGGCGTCGGGCTGCGAGAAATAACGACTCGTTTTTTTTAACGGGAAACAGCCAAAAAAGGCAGCTCAGAGACTCGCGTGGGCGAGAGGGAGCACCCTCACCTCTGGGGCTGTGCTTAGCAGGCGGTTACCAACTCCAATTCTCAACCGGGTTTAAATTTTTAGCGTTAATTCGATCGAAACGCATCGACCCGAAACGTCAGCGGAAGCGTCTCGACCTCCGCAAGGCCGCGGGGTAACGCACAGCCCCGCTTCGTGTGGGTTCTTCCGCAGGACGGCGCTTCCGCAGCGAGTCAGGTGGACTCCGGTCGATTCAGGTTATTACATTACAAAAACCTCAGTAAGAACATTAATTCCATTTCTATCAGGAGATAACGACACCTTAATTCCCCTTCCCGGAGCCTGTTAGAAAAGAACAAGCCTCGGCAATCGCTATTTGTAGGCAGGCTTTAATAAATCACACCCACATCAAACGAGGCTGCGCTCGCCTCTCTTTCCCCTTTTTCGTTTCAGGATGCGGCTTAAAATTGGTTTCCTTCGGTTTAAAAGCAGCTTATCTGATCCTCTCACAAAGGCGCCCACTCCTTCCCTTTCTGATCACCTCGCCTAACGCTTCCCAGCCCCCCGAGCCAGCCTCCCACCCTTTCCTGGCCCATCGCAGCTTAAAATAAGCCGGGTTTTTCTGCTTATCCAGCTCTTTGGGATGCTGTGGGTGGTTTTTCCTCTCTTGGCTCAGGAGAGGCTGCCGGGTGAGGGAGGCTCCTCATCACCCCGGCGTTTTGGGTGCAGCCTCGCCCCTGCACACAGCCAAGCGGCTGCTGCTTCCCCGGGGGGCGGCTGAGGGCATCACTCTGCTGAGGCCATCGCTCTGCCGAGGGCATCGCTCCGCTGAGGCCATTGCTCCCCTGAGGGCATCGCTCCCCCGAGGGCATCGCTCCGCCGAGAGCATCGTTCTGCTGAGGCCATCGCTCCGCCGAGGGCATCACTCCGCCGAGGGCACCGCTCCACCGAGAGCATCGCTCCGCCGAGGGCATCACTCCGCTGAGGCCATTGCTCCGCCGAGGGCATCGCTCCACTGAGGCCATTGCTCCACCGAGGGCATTGCTCCACCGAGGGCATCGCTCCGCCGAGGCTCCACTCGAGCTGCAGTTTTTCTTTCTCTTTTTTCTCTTCACGAGCTGCATCGCGTCTCTGGTGCCTGAAGCACCCGGCCCCTCGATCGGGCTGCTGCTGCCCGCCTCGATCGTGTGGCCTGTGCCTTCCCCCCGGCGACTTCGGTGACGGGTGCGAGCCGACGCCCTGGGACCCCGCTCCAAGAGACGCGCGGGGTAGCGCCGCGTCGCAATAGGCGTACGTTGTTACGCCAGACAACGCTTCGGTGCTTGCCTCTCCTTAGCTACAAACCACGGGTTTACTGTTAGCGGTTTTGTAGCTGTGAAGTGACAAGAACCTTCTTTGCTTTCTAAAGTTATTATTTTAAACGTTTCTTTCCCGTTATTTGCTTTCAAGCTGTCAGGATGCTTTCTTAGCTCTGCGCAGAGCGCTCGGAGGACCAGGTAGATGAAATACTACAAGCAGTATCGCTTGTGCTTTCCTCCTGAAATTAGGTTTAAGCGATCCCTGAGTAAATAACAAATTATTTATTGCCACTCGGCAAAAATCTCTTTCTTTTTGTGGTTAAATTACGCCGGAATTCGCAGAATCGCTCGGGCTGAGAAGTTGACGCGGAGGCAGAACCCCGCAAGGGCGATTCCTTCCGATCACGCAGGAAAACGGGTTTCTGGCTTTGCTGTGGAGCAGGGCGCGGGATGCGGTGCGCGTCGTGGGCGCCTGCAAACGCCCTGCACCCCCTCGGGAAACGGCTGATTCCCGGTCCCGCTCCCGGTCCCCAGCCTCCGCCTGT